GTTTCCTAAAAGCCAACCAAATAAGATTACAAAGGATTATCTGAAGATCAATAACAACTAGGGTAGCTCTTTCTTATATCTCACCCCATTCAGGATTCTCTGTAACTTCTGTTCAACTCTAACTGCAATTTCGATTCAAAAATACGGCTTCTCTCTTAACGATAAGCACCAGGCACAGAGTTCTGGTCCAAAACTTGAAAACCCCAAACTGTGGAGGTATGGGTTTAAGGCCTCCAAAAAAAACCCCCAAAAAACCCAGATAGAATGTTTTCTGCAGCTGAAGTTCAGGCAGAAGTAAAAAAGACAGTTCACCTCAGTTCAATATAAATAGAGGCTTCTAAGCAGAGACCTATCAGTGCAAATCAAATTTGGACACTGAAATGTACAAAATGTACAGAAGAAAGGACTGATTTAGCAGTAAGCCTGCAAAGAGGAAAAGCTGGAGACCCTGGAAACACTGGTTCGTTTGGCGTTGCTGACTGGGAACAAACAGGGAGTCATTTCCCTCCAATAGCTGCTTGGGTGACACAGATTTCTTTATAACTTACTAGCAACAGGAACCAATAATGCAGTTCTGTCTTTGTTCCTTCATAGCCACGGTCTCTGAATTTGTGAAGTGTTGCTAAATGGCCTGACAATCATGAGAATGAACAGCAAGCAGGGAAGGGATGTTTCCACGTACTTGTCAAGACCAGAATGACCAGATACAGAATTGTCTTTAAAAATGAAAGGGTGGATTAGTTTTCCCCTGCTCCCCTGTAGAAGAATACTTCTGTACAAGCAGTTATTAAATCAAGCTGAAATACTACTTTTTGGAATATGGGAGGCCTCCATCCAATCTCATGTGTCCCATCTCCAGGTGATCCCCCTTTTGGGGGAAGGGGAGAGTCAGAGCATTGAGCTACATGACAGAAGTACCAGCCCTGCTGTGTATACATAGCCTTGATCCCCACAGGCTTGCTTGTTCCATTTGCAAAACAGGGATGGTTTTTACTATCATGAGATATTGCGATGAAGTATATGAAGAATTTTAAATTACTGTGCAATGGATACAGTATGAGAATTTTAGACATTGAATTACTTAATTTCCAGTTCATAGTTTTCTCTTCCCTTGGGATTACAAGGTAGCCAGGTTTACTGTTCTCTCAGGAAGGATAAAGTACGGCTAAATGTTGGAAGATGCTTGGGAGGATTTTTTCTTCAGGTAAGTAGAACTCAGCTTGGAGCCTTATGTAGCCATTGACTGTTACTGTGACCTCCTTCCCTGAAAGCGGCGTTTAATTCTGGGTGGAGAAAGGTTCCTGCAAACATCTTGTCTGCTGTATTCAGAAAGGCTTGAGTCCATGATCTAGCCAGAGAACAAGAGTTCTTTGGAAAAGTATAAAAGTGTTGCTCACAGGTCTCCTTTATTATTTCTATAGTCCTTTTTTCTGCTTAATAACCCAGAAGGGCTGGAAACAGAGGCAATGATAGGCAGCTGTGTGACCATACTGAGAAATAACAGATAGCTTGTTTTAGAAAGATACTGTTTGCATTACTGTCAGGTTACTATTGCTCTGTTGGGCACGCTGCACTCTCTTAAAAATTTTCAGTCACGCTCTTTTTTTTCTAAGAGTAGTTGGGAAAGAGCAATGTGCTGATTTTTGCCATAGGAGAGCAGAGAGCTTGATCTGAAATTAGGTTTGTTGAACGTCACCAGCTCTGCTGCGTAGGGATTGACTGTGCTAACCAAACACAGTCCCATGTAAGGCCAGTTTGGTGACACATTGCCACATTGTTCCCGCAAGAACTGTGATCTGGAAATGCCTCCCTCACCTTACACTGAGCTAGGGAAGCCTAGCCCATCTGACCAGTCTCTCAGGCCAGTACGAGGTCCCACCAGCTCCTTCTGACGTGACTCTACACTTGAGAAGAGTTCAGAGTGCTCAGGATTTGCAGAGACTCTGCTCTCTCAGTGCTGTGGAGAACCAATGAGGACGCTCCTTGTATCACGTTGTCTGGACATACATGTTAGTACCAAACAACCCCTGAGCGTTAAACTACCATTTTTGTTCTTTATGTGGGCTTTGACTTGTGTGTGCAGACACTGGAACTTCTTTCCAGAACCACTGCGAGCCATGAATATGCCTTTGAGGAGAGTCCTACCAGCCAGCAATACAGCAAAGTGTGGTGGAGAGACCATTCTGCCTTACAACAAATCCTGCTGTCAAGCTATAGCACCCTCTGAAATCAGGGGAAGAAGACCTTTTTAAAAAAAAATAATACCTTGAAACTGTCATATGTCTAGCCCATCTGCTTTGCCCATCATGATAAGCAATTTAGCCAGCATCTTGCCTTACTCATATCACTGGGAAAATCTCTGCTCTGTGCAGAGTGATGTTTCTTTTTCAAGACTCAGCTTGAAGTGCAAGGCTGTAAGCAAGAATATTGGGTACTCTGACTCATTCTCTTGGAGGCCTATTTTTATGATTGTTCTCCGTGGAACTACATCTTAAAACTGTCAGTTAATGTTCTTAAATAATTTTCACAGCTTTCTGCTGAGCCATCTCAGCACAGTGGTTCTTCCCTCTGATGTAAGAACCTTTCCCGGGTTCTCCGGAATATAACTACCCTCCATCACTGCAGTCCATGAAACCAAACTATTGGCTAAATACCTCCTTCTTTCTCTTTACCTCAGTAAGTAGCTACAAGTCAGTGCCATTTAAAATTTAATCTTGTCCTAACAGGATATATTTCTTGGTTTTTAACCCATCTTCTGTATAAAACAAACCACTAAATTCAGCTACAACAACTGCCTCATGACAGAACCCTTTGTCTCAAGAACCTCTTAATGAGCTCTCATTATCACAAATTGCCCCTGAACATCTATAATATCTTTTGTAGCTCCACACATCTCACTACTTCCTCTCTCCTGCTTTCTTTACAATCCATTAGCATCCCTTAGCAGCCTCATTTAACAATTAAACTTTACTGTTTCTAGAAACCCACAAGGAACCCCAGGTTCTACTATTAGGTCTGTGTCTTTGAGAGACCTGGGAAGGGATTCACATGGTCCAACTTAACAGAGCACAGATTCCTCCTACAGATCATGGTCCTCAGAGAAAGATTTAGTGCAGGTTGTTGGCCTGATGTGACTGGTAACTCCATCAGTCTCTGAATCGCCCTCTTGGAGGTCCCCCATAAAGGTGCTTCAACTAAATGTCTGACGTTAGACAGTAAGAATCTACATCCTTTCCTCATACCCTAGTTTCAAGTCTCCCTGGCTAATCTCTGCACACAACTTTGCCTTCTCTATAGAGTTGATTTGCCGGCAGGTTTTTGTTGTGCTTATGTTCAACATTAATGGCTCAAACTGTCCCATGTAAGCTAGATGTTCTCGTTGACATGCCTGATAATAGGTTCTTACTTACCTGTGAGTGTTTCCGCTACAAGCAGACGAACTCAAACTCATTAAGCCATTACAGTGTTTCCCTGAAAGTGCTCTCATGGATTAAAGGCTCGAGTGGCCCTGGAAGATGCTGATTCTTTGCAGAGGGTAAGTCCGCAGCCTCCATCCCTACTGAAATCAATTCTAAAAGTAATTGTGTGGTGTGATGTGAACTGTGTTTTCTAAGCTTGTCTGGTGGCTGTTTAAAGTCCCCTGAGAACAAACATATTTTAGATTTTACAGCTACAAAGAGCTTGTGCCTGAACACTAATGGGTACATTGGCAAGCAGATATAACTTTGGTATTTCTTACTCTTTCCTAAAGATATAGAGTCTTTTCTTTTGACGTTTTGATAGATCAGCAGATTCTCATTCTACATTATATTCCAGGCATGCAGCTGAGAGATGATTAACGTCTAGGGAAGTAAAAATACTGCACCTATATTTCTTATGTCTTTACTGTGTTGACTGCATTTTATCTTGTAGGATGACATCCAGAAATGGGAAATCGTGGCTCCATTCAAGTCAATTGCAAAACTCCCAGTGATAGAAGTAGCTCATTCATAAAGCTCTAAATACACCTTACTATTTTCTGTAACTTTAATTAATGAAATCCTCTCAGGAGGAGCCAGGCAGAGCAAAATCTTAACTCCAACCTTCATCTGATCGGAAGTCTCTCCATTTTGCTGCAGCTCCACGCAGGTATAAAGTTCTTTTTTCTTGTATCACAAGGCAGAAACAGAGCCTGTTCCTTCCTGGGTGCAGGCTGTTACACTTTTCCTCACCAACTTCAAAACTATGATGGAAGCAGATCTTTATTTACTTGTTTTGTGGTTGTTTTTTTTTTCCATACAGTAGGTTTTGGAAATAATAAAGATTCATTTCCTTGCTCCCCCTCCTGCATCCCCAAAATTGGATTTCACCTTACAGATGTTATGTTCAGTAAGGACTGAATCACTTGCTAAAAATTGGCCAAAATACTCTGGGCCTGCGCCACTAAATGCTTTAAGTTGGTTATTTTCTGCCACTCCTTCATGGTTTTACTAAGTTTAGCAAGTCACTGGGGTTAGGAGATGACAAATTCAGCCCAGATCAAAGGAAATGCCTTTGCAGACTTTACACCACTTGCTGATGGAGCTCACTGACGCTAGAAATGAGAGTCTAAGAACGCAGCGAAGATCTCCCCGGGGGTAATGCAAACTCAGTTAAGTCGTTTAACTGAAAACAGTTAAAAAGTTTCGGAAAAGACCGGAACAGCCGAAGGCCATGTGGCTCCGGACCCCGCCGTGCCAGCGGCGGCGGGGCGGGGG